ACGGTGACTATGTGGACAATTTACAGTTGGCTTAGAATTTCCAACACGATACGTCCCCAAGCACTGTTAACGAGTCCTTAAAACTTGGTTAAGTGGCCAAAACATTTTGATTCTGGATTGGCCAGCTCCGGACCTAATAGAAAACCCCATAGAAAATATCTGGCGGATTAGTCGTTCCTGCAACAAATATTCTTTATGGGAAATAAGACATAAAATGTTAAATAAATTTAATTTCTGTACTAAAAAAGTTGCTTGGAAGAAACTTTCATCTATTAGGGGCGTGACTTAATTATACAAGTATGAGCACAAGTGTATATATATATTCATAACACATCTTCGAAACATTCTTCTAGCTCAAATACACTCGATATTATAATTTTCAACCTTATGGCGGATTAAGCCAATGTTAATCAATATATAATATTTGTTCAAATCGTCCACGTGATTGCAGAGATTAATAAAAAATATGTTAGATTTTCAATTTAATTCAAAATATTTTGCTTTGTAGAGTTTGGTGTTATTGTTCCAGCACAGAACATTCCCGAAGTTGGCAATCAATGAGGTTTATATGGGCCTTAATGTATTAAGCATGAATAATTGTGCCGAACTTAAAAAATTAATTACAATTCACTTTACTAACGCAGCTAAACAACTTTTGAAGGGATTAGACCAGTCTTTTATTTCTAAAATATATATTTTTAGCGTTAAGAGGGCCTTCAAATATCAAAAATATAACTAAGTTGCTAATACTGAAATATTTTTATTAAATGTGTAATCTGCCGTGGTGTTCAAGTGTTCGAGCTAGTCAGCTTTTTCAATTTTTTAGATATCGATCAGAAATTTTACATGAGTTCTTTTCTCCCTATGAAACTATTAATTTGTTTTATTCGCCGATTTTGGTCTTCTATAGCATATAAGTAGCTGTATACAAAATGTGATCGGGTTGTTGTATGAAGAAATTTGTTACAATCCGCGAGCAAATTCTTCAGATCGGACTACTACAGCATATTTTTGTCAAAAAAATTTACCGATCAAAATCTAGATAAAGATATTTTTATATCCTTTTATTCTATGCTATAATAAGGTCTTACAAATTCTATGCAGCGTAAGTTTTTTCTTGTATTATCTTTTCTTTTTCCTAAGCCCACAGGATTCCGAAGAGTGAAGATCTGTAAAATAGGTTTATCAAATCGACGTTTTGCAGGTCTTGGAACACCATTACAGTCTATTTGTGTTTACTTTAGGGGTAATACGTAATACGTATAAGTCCACGATTCATCACTTGTCACGATGTGAATGTATGCTAATGCTCATTGTCGTCTCAATCTTACGATAGATCACACTCACACGCTCCTGTAATACCGGTTGTAAAAATAATCTTTCGAAAATGTTCGAAATTTAATTCCATTTTTTGGTCAAGGAGAATATTTTAAGTTACTGTAAACAACACAAATAACGCTCATTTGTCAAAACGTTCTGCATACGATCCAAAATATCAAATTTTACCATAAAATTGTGACTTCCCAAATTGTAACACTAGTGTCGACAAATCCCGAAACAAAAAAAGGTAGCCTACGTTCCAAATCCCAAGCTTACGTAAAAATTTTTAGTAAGAGATCTGTATCTGCAAAAAGCCTACTACTTTGCTACACTTTTTAGAGTAGAAATAAGTCTAAACAAATCGGAGTCAATATTAGCTTGAAAGTATACAATATTTTAAATATATTCTTCAATGGCTTTAGCATATTTGTTCAAGTTTAACTGTAACCTTTCGCAAAAGTTTCAAGTTTAACTGTCACCTTTCGTTTTGGCCCAAAAAATAAGGTGACATTGTATTTATTTTGAAAATGACGCTTTTCATCTTCGACACGTTCACGGCCGGCTTGGAACTCACTATACCACTTGTAAACATTTTTTTTAGACATAGCCTCATCACCAAAGGCTTTCTGCACCATCCTCAACGCATCCGCAGCAGAAAATTGATTCCGTAAACAAAATTTAATGCAAATTCTTTGCTCAACAAATTTCGACATCGCAAAAACACGAAAAACTCACTTTTAGCAGCTCACAAAACGACACATATCTCAATCATGAATGAATATTTTGACATGAAATTTGACATAAATGTGACTGACAGTACTACCAACCTAAAACCTTCGACACGCGCAGTCAAATGTCACCTTATTTTTTGGGCACAGTTTAGGTATAAATGGAGCGCGTGATGTTGTTGCAAGACGTGAATCTAAGTGGGATTGTCCGCAAAGACTTTAGACTTTACATATCCTTATAGGAAAATGTCTAACGGTCACAAGATCTTGATGGCCAATCGACAAGCCCAAAATGTAAATTTATCTGCTTACCGAGGTGTTCTCTCAATAAACCAAACTAAATGTCGCCGAGATCACGAGCTTCAATTTCAGGCATCAAATAATGGGATATTCTTAGAACTTTTGTACGCTTTCAATTTAAGATCTCGACGTAAAATGCGCCAAGTTGTTCCATACATCAGCCCGAGTTGTTGCGAACGGTCTTCATGTACACTCTCAGCTATTAATCAATGCTGGTTCTCAATATGAGTGATGGTGATGGCGTCTTCAGTAGGCCGATTATGTTGACCATAAGTTGAGCGTCGCAATCGAAACACATTATTTACATAACGTGGATTTTCGCAATAAAGTGGAACGATTTGTGAACGTTTTTCAGTCGTAAGCATTTCCCTGATGAAATGCCAAACAATACGGAACAAAAATAAAATTACCCCTTGACAAGACTATCGCACGAATAGCGGAAATCCGCCCCAACTTCCCAGCCGAAGCAGCCGTTTTAGCTAATGAGCGCGACACCTTACGCCATGCCGATCCCGGGGATCCCCAAACAAGTGATCTCAATTTGGAGATTCGGCGTATGGTAAACCATCATAGTCGGACGAAATGGATAGAGCACCTGAAGTACTGCAACCTCTCCACCGGTGTGACTAAGCTTTGGGCTACTGTCAAAGCTTTGTCTAACCCGAAGAGTAACGACGACCGAGTTGAAGTTCAATTCAATGGTAATACCCCTTCGGACCCGAAGAAGTGCCCGAGCATTTTTAGCCGGCAGTTTACACTGCACCCTTCGGTAGACAAACTTAAACGATGTGTTAACCGACGGCTGCGCAAAATGCCAAACGACGGCGCGCCACTTACTTTCACCGATGAGGAGGTTCRGGGTGTCATCAACAAAGCAAAGTCTTCCAAATCCATTGGCCCTGATGGAAKCAACATGCTAATGCTAAAGCATCTAGGCTCGACGGGAGTAAGATATCTTACCAAGGTCCTCAACCTGTCGCTGACCACCCTTCAAATACCCGATGTGTGGAAAGTCGGAAGAGTGGTCCCACTACTGAAACCTGGGAAACCCGAAACTCCCGTAACTACCAGAGGGATTTCCATAACCTCCTACGACATTGACGTCGGGCAATGGAATCGATGGCATGTGATCGAAGGTAAACAACTATCTCACCGACCTTTCTCACGAAACCTCATACTTTCCCCCACCAAATTCACAGCGACCATATTCACGAACTGGACGAAGGAGTATATGTAGACTTGAACTTAATATTGCAGTCGACGGTGTCAAAATTCCGACTGTCAATAACCCTAAGATTTTAGGTGTCACCTTCGACAATCGCCAAAGTACAGAGCCGCAACAAAATCCTCAAGTCGCTAGCCGACAGCACATGGGGAAAAGACAAAGAAACGTTGTTGGCAACTTACAAGGCAATCGGCCGGCTGGTTCTTAACTACGCAGCACCCATATGGTCGCCTGGATGCAGTGACACGCAGATGAGGAATACAGCACTCCGGACCTTGACGAGATGCCTCCTGATGTCTCCCATCGAACACCTACATAGTGAAACGCTTATGCTCCCAGTTAATGAGCATAATGAACTCCTCTACAAGCAGTTCCTGCTAGGAAGTTTTCGTTTCCTTGACCACGTCGACGACATCGTACAATACGCCGACAGGACCTCGTACGCAACGGACTTTCGACAGGCACCCACCGCCATTCACAGTAGAGCCATCAACACCTTCACCGACTTCCTTCCCGTGAATGGCGTACTTGGAGTCCAACCACCTCCCATAGCAGGCGAAGAGCTCGAGTTGCCGCGAGAAACGCGAGTGACCCTTGCGCAACTYCGTTCTGGATATTGCAGCAGGTTAAACTCCTACTTATCCAGAAAAGACCCTGACATACCTAATGTATGTCCTGCATCCTTTTCTGACCCTGTCGAAACAGTACGTTTCCTGGGCCTCCCATTAAATGACGTTGTTGTTGTTGTTGTAACGGCAGAATTCTGCCGAGTTTACAGTCCTTGGCCGGATAAAAATCCGGGTCCGTTCCGGTTTTCGTAGACCCGACTGTCGTGGGAACGGCCATTAAATGACGTCGACGACAACACTGATAGCCCTCACCATCCTAACGGGGACTGATAACCGTTAAAATAACAATAACAACAACACTATCGCTTGATTTGTCAAAAAAAAGGCTATTGAAAAATGTACCTCTACTTGAATCTCCCGTTATACCACAAGAAGGGTTTGTCTGGAAAGTAAGAGGACTGATTTTCTTCCGCCGCGACTGTACTTCAGAACGTGCCTGGAGAGTCAGGACAAACATTTTTACGCGACGAGTTTCTGTGAGTGGTGCAAGCCGACCCCGTCATTTTTATTTTTTTTTTTTTTGCTTCCTTACCTGAAAAGGACGATGAAAGGCAAGCATTTTGAGATGAGAGAGGGGATCCAGCAGCATGTACCTCGGCTCTCAAGGCTACTCCGGAGATTGTCTTATGTGACACCTTCAATTTCGCCTTCACCTGTTTTAAAAGTTTTTAAACAATTGTAACGTTTGGTCGACTCAGTCCTATTACTTTCCGGACAAACCTTGTATCTTCAATACAACCAAATATTATATTTAGATTTTTGTAACATATATCTGAAGGCCCTATATATGTATATCAATAGCCAACATCTAAAATAATAACAATGACAATGAAAGTAAAGCAAATCGGACAACTATGTTTAACCTATATATCTCAAATACAAAAAAGCATAAATTACGTTTTTTGTGATAAACATTTGTAAAGCTAATCCCGATTCCGACAAGCAATCAACATAATATCAAAATGCAAATATGTTCCAGGTTTCATTAAATATTTAAAAAACTGACAAAGAAATTTGCTTAATTCCTATAAAGATAAAATTCGCGTTAAAAATCGCTCATTCGAAACCAGTTTTAAACCTGTAGCCTCTTAGACAAAGTTCTTCAGAATGTTCTGTAAAACATTTCACGCATACGCATACATATTATATGCTAGCATTTCCTAAATCAATTTCTACATTTCCACTAGACATTTTATGTCAAAACAATACCAATTGCACTTATGTATTATAATGTAAGTACAAATTCACTCTTGTAATGAGGTTTGAGTGTATGTGTATAACAAATGTATTTATAGTAATACATTATCCAATACATTTTCCAATAGAACGTTTTCCGCTTCAGTAGTTGTGGCTACTGTAGCATCTGATGTTATAGTGGACGCTGTTGTCACATCAGCACGTAATTCGGCAGAAAGATAATCGTCAATATCTTTACCATCATCAACAGCATGAACATCACGTTCAGTTGCGTCAGTATTTAAGTGACTTGCATCGTCTGCAACCTCATCATCATTATCATCGGCATCATCATATGATAAATTATTTATTTTACATTTAACAGTCGATTCACTTTGGAAAACAGTTTGCGGTATATTGCTAACAGTAGCATCATAGACGTCACTAGCATTATTATTCGCTTCGAGCGCTTCCCTATTATTATCTGCGCCAATATATCCACATTCACCGCCATTGCCTCCTCCTTCCACATCTTCAATAACTGCAAACATTTATAAGATAGAGAGAGAGAGAAAGAGAAAAATACCAAAAGAAAGAAACGCGCACGATTTCGTTTAAAAAAAATATTATTTAGATATTAAATTTTTTTTATTAATCTTTTAAGGCAGCAACGCTAAGTGGTGAGTGGGTAATGTTGTATGGACTTATGTGGCTTGGTGTGAAGTGGTGATTGACTGATAGAAAATGAGCGTAATGTGATCGGCTGTTATTAATTTATACTAAGAGTTAGAGTCAGAATATAAATGGTAATATCAAAATCAGAATTTATGATTAAACACAGCAGCAGAAGAAGTAACCACCAGAAAAACAGGTTATAGAAAATTGAAAATAAAATATTTTAAATAACATAAATATGTACATATTTATACATCAATATATGAGTGCAAATAATATATGATATATAATTTGAAGATGTTCCACTATATTGATGTAGACAAGAATGGTTATAGAATTTTAAAGGTTTTAAAACGCTGCGATCGTATGATATCCATTTTGATACTAGAACTAGCACTAATCTTTAATATACGTATAAACTCGATGCGAATGACGTTTTATGATGCAATGTAACCATAATGAGTTTGCATATTTATATTAATAAATGTTATTTAGAAGTAATAATATATATTTATAATAAGAATTGCTTAAAATAAAAATATTTACAACAAAAAAATGCGCACACTATTTTTATTTCAGCATATTTTCATTACAGTTACATGAAAGTAGATACGTGTCTAATATAAAAACAATCAACTTATAAAAAAATTGCAATAATCAAGTTTTGTTGTTATAAATGTTAATAAATTGAAAGTTACTGGTCTATATTGTGATAACTGTGATAACTAGCTGGCAATATCAAAGTCGTATGCGAACTTTTTTCTTGTAAAACAATGAAACTAATTATCGCAATTCTAACACGGTGTGTGCCAAAATTAACCGAACTTTATATTTAAAACATACAACATGCAACGTTATCTATGAAAAGTAGATTTTTTAAAATTTACATCGGTCCTTTTTCAAACGTACTTAACTTCATGTAAATCGGATGACATATGTGTAAGTTACATCCATTTCAGTAAAAGAAAAAGTGAGCAATTCTTTCATTTTACGAAGAATAGGTATGAAATTTGGCTTTTAACTTAAAAAACAAAAATCGCTTAGATATACGTATTGATGAAAATTTTACTAAAAGAATGTTGGCCGAAAGATTAAATATAAATGAAAGTATTATTTTCAGAATTTTAACTAAATTAAACGAATATCTTAATCTTACTGTTTTCCACAACCAAAACTGAAAAACAACATGAAAAGAGCATTTTGTGATGTGGCCAAGCCATTCTGGAAACAGAGGTGGGAAGATTATATCTATATATGACACAAACAAATCTATCCATGGGCTCCAAACTTTGTATTAAGTATAAAGATAATATATTGTGCATTGTTTATTCTATATTCAAAACGTTCGATTTTTTGGACACAACGTATTTATATATATGTATATATATATATATATATTTAACAAAAAAATATTTAGTCCTAAAACTCACCTTTTACAGACAGTCGTCTTTTACTTGTTTGTGCACGCGATTCGGCAGTAGTGGTACTATTTGTTGATACGCCTCCACCACGATGTGGACGCTCAAGGTTTTGCGCATCTTTGCGCTCATTATTCTCATCGCGGTCATTTGTGGTTAACGTTACAGCCGCTGACGCTGTGCTACTTCGTCTACTATTACTGCAAGCCTCACCACGGCGCTCACGTTTATCGTTGGGCGTTTTAGCACTGCCACTATTTGCGCTGGTATTGGCGGGAGGCTCTTGATCGTCAACAGCTTGAGATGCAGTCTTTTTGGCAACTCCTTTACTACCGCAACCATTTATCAATTTATCAGAAGTACTGTTAGCGTTACCGTTTTGTAGATGCAGACTGGCACGTTTAACAGCTGTAGCTGAACGCTTTGTTGGTGGTTGCATTGGTTTGTTTTCCGTATTTTTACTGGCACTGCTTGTACCACACACATCATTGTCAGCTGTTCCTAACACTTCAGATATATTCGTGGGCTTTGGTGTTTGCTTTTGTGGTGATTTAAGCTTCTGTTCATCTTGTTTATGTATGCCCACATCAAGCCAATATTTCAATTGAGCTTCACGCTGTTTGGACATCAGCTCTTGTCCCTCGGGATATTTACTTAACAAACCCTGTAGCTTCTGTACAGTTTTGTAGACAGTCTCTGGTGAAACTAACCCATAATCGAATAGAGAACACATATGTAAAATGAAATTTCGATACAGATTTTTACGTATAATCTCATAGCCATTCGAGTCTAAGAACATTTCGCAAGCTAGCGGCAATTGACAGTCGCCAACATAACCATGCTTCATTACATGTAAATTCCATAGCTTCATCAATTCTTTTTCGCCCTCATTTACATCGGAGAATTCATCAATCATTTGTATCGTTTTCTGCCGTAACCATAGTGGGTCACTTTCACCTTCTGAATCGATATCAAGTTCCTTGGGATGTACAGGTAAGCAGGTCTCCGTGTGGTGGTATAGTCTTTAGAAAAAAATAATTAATTATGAATACTCAATACAAATATACAAAAATACTAGATAACCCACCTATTATGGCCTGTAATGTAAGGACGCTGATTGCTTAAATCGTCCTCGTCCAACACTAGAAACTCGTCTAGGCAGGTTTTCTGTCTACGCGGGCGGCAGACTAGTAAATTTGTCACAGTTGTACGACGCACTGGACCACATGTTCGCGCAAAGGAACAACCTGACGGACCAGCCAAATCGTACGGTGATCCCGCATACGAACCATCATAAGAATCGTTTATGGTCACGTCAATACGTGCGCCATTCCCTGCCGGTTGATATGTGAAATTGAAGCGAGCATGACACAATTTCAAATGTTTAAGCAGCGCATACAAACGCAAGCAATCCAAACCACACCATGGACATATTACCTCCTGTGTGTACTCCGTTTGTTGTCGTGTATTGTTACTATATAAAAAATTATAAACTATTTGTATTTTTTCTACTTTTGCTGATACTGCCACAATACCACTTTTAGCACCGTTGGTTTTAACACAATTATTATTATGATTTACATGCGCGCCTATATTTGTAGTTTGATTGACATTGCTATTGAATGACATTTCGACCTCATTTGTATTGCTTTGTATTTTATCATTTGTCTCATTTTTTATACAAGCCAAGTCGCCATAAAGGTTAAGATCCTTTGCATCAATACTACTAGGCACTTCATTGGCCGACCATGTTAGACGAAACTTAAGAGTTGGAAATTGATTGAAAACATCGAATTTCAACGAGAGTGGAATGTAATTGTCTGGCAATGTCTCCCACGTACGTTTCTTTGGAGAAAAAGATTTTATGCTCATCGAATTGAGCTCCTGCATCGCTGCTTCGTAATCCCCTTCAGGTATAAAACATATATTTTTCTCAAATACTATCAATTCGCATCCATAGATTTTCGTACTAATTTTTCCGCGTTTGCAAGGTGGGTCTATATTAAATTAATCATAAAATTTTTAATTACAGTATACTTATAACATTGTAATGCCTAAATACTTTTTTCAATTTATATATTCATATGCCTACTTATTTCACTTACCGCAATTCTCAGTGTTGTCATCAATTGAATTGTTATCACATTTTGGTAGGACTTTAATACGAAACAATAGTTTATATATTGTGTGTTGATCGCCAAGAGGACGCATTGATTGTACCGGAATACTGATAGTTGAGAAGCGACTAATGTCATGATCTGGATTGTATTTAACATCTGAACTATAACTCTAGAATAAAATGTAAACATTCAAAATCATAACATAAGCTAATATATTTATACTGTTAGGATAAGAATTTACCATCATTTCCTGAAAGTCTGAGGTGCTATCTTTTCGTTTATTTTTTGTTATCTTGTAAAGGGTAGCTTCAACACTAACCGACTCTCCAGCATTCCACCATTGATCGCTGCAACTACTTTTATCAAATAACCCATTGTAAATAATATTCAAATATTTATTTGAGTCTATCTCTGCTTTTTGTGTTATTTGCTGTAATATTGAATTAACTTTAAATGTTGTGCGTTTTTTATTGTTTCGCGACATGCGCTCCTTCATATAACTAAGTGTGCGATTCAAAAATATAGGCTGAAATTATAAAAAAAAATACATAAAAGTTATCTACACAACAATGAACGACATTAGAAATTTACATACACTGGTGCCATGACGATTGCGTAAAAACCTATATATCTGGGTAGGTTCTAAACAAAAATTGTATATTAAGTTTTAATGAATATTTTTTAGTTGCATTTCGAGAACTTACTTTCAAAAGCTTGTAGAAAAAGTTCCTGCTCTTGCTGATGTCCATTGAGTTTCACGTTATCAACGTTTATAGTTGCAGTACTTGCAGTGACTGCAGATGCAGCAGCAGCTGTTGCTGAAGATACCCCACCACAATTAACAGAGTTAACACTTCCGTTTGCAACATTACTTATAGCAGCTGCCGGCGCTGCTAATGCATTATCCTTTTCGCGTTTTTTCGCCGGAGCCATTATGTTTATTAAAATATTTACTGAATAATCACTGTCTCCGTAGTATGAGCACGGCGTGTTGAGATCACAATTTAATTTTCTGCTTCACTGTCTCGTCGGTTTCGACGCTAAGCTTGCGGTAGCATAAGATGCCCCCAATACACACTCCACTTTGTTATTGTCCTTTATATATACTCTCAATTTATTTTATTTAGAGAATTAAAACTACAAATTTATACTAATTTCCCGTGAAGATATAAAAGTTTTAATGTACAAGAGTTTTTCACAGTTCCCTATTGTAAATGAAAAGATATCGGCGCGAAATTTTCACACATACATAAGGCGTACAAACTCTTCCTCTTCATCAGCTTCATCTTCTTCGTTTTAATTTCATTCCCAATGAATACATTAAACAAAAATCAATACACGTACGAATTAATAGTTAGGCACATGCAATGCATAATAGCATGCAATCATACTAAAAAAATATATAAAATCTATTAAACAAAAATGTATTAGACGGTTTCTGAATCGAAAAACTAATAAAGGATTTGATGTAATCAAATATATTTTAATTGCTATTTACATACTTGGCAGTTCTATAATTTGTTGTCTGTCATTGACACGCTTTGCTCTTTGACAGTTATATTAAAATTCGCCGCATAAACTCATGTGGTGTTACTTGGACATTTATCCATGACTTGGATTTGTCATTTCATCCGCAACTGCTTTAAAAAATATTAATATTGATTCAACATTTCCGGAATAGTTATTAAAAATGGATAAAAATAGCACTGCGTTGGTAAAGAAATTGCAATCAGAGCTCGAAGCTTACCAAAATCTGCAAAAAAGTAAGTCTTAGTCGATCGAATTACGGTTACTTATTTGCAGTAAAACAAATGTGCATATACATATGTATATATGTATGTTTACATTCTTATGTATCATGTTTTTAAATGGTTAAGAATAGTTTTTTTTTCTTTTTCAGCGTGTATGAAATTGGTAAAACAGCGTACACTCCTTGAATCTCAATTAAATGAGAATAAATGTGTGTTGGACGAATTAAATATACTCGGTCCCGATAATAAAGTGTACAAGTTGTATGGACCCGTTTTAGTGAAGCAGGATCTGGAGGAATCGCGTCAAAATGTTGGCAAACGAATTGAATATATTTCGAAAGAACTGAAAAGTTCAAACGATACATTGGACAATATGGAAAAAGATATGACAAAACATCGGGAGACAGTACAAAAGTTGCAACAGCAATATCAAGTAGCAGTAGCAATGAAATAATATGTAGAGGGCACAATTATTTATAAAAACAATTTCAGAGGATCTATTGGAAATACAAAACTCAACAAGATTAAAAATAAAAACTAAATTTCCAATTATTATTTGAGAATTCCGACATTTTCAATATTAGTACTTGAAATTGTTGTTTGCTCATCTAGTCTGAATAAGTGCTCCAGTGGTTTAAGAGAGTGCCGAAATCATTGCATAATCCTAAATATTTCACTAGACATACGCAATAAATTACATTTCGTACGAGTTGCCTACTAATATTCCAGTAGTAATAACACATTTGGTACGATTGGTCTACTACTAAAACAGATCAAGTTTGTCACCTAATATCACAAAACTAAAAAGAACTCTTGCTTGCCCATTTGTATATACTGACAAGTCACTTTTAGAGATCATCATAGATATTACGATTGTTTTTTTTTTTTTAGATCTTCTAGTATTGCTAACTGCGAATGGGATCCGCTCTCAATGTTATGCAGATGTCATTGTTATTATAGCTAGAGATTAATTTGAGGACCCTATCTGTTACTTAATACAGTGAAGTTTAAACCTGGCAAAGATTGGTGCAGTGGGCTTGAGTTGAACAACATTTCTAAGACCATCATCGTCCTCATAGGTCTCTGCCCGGCCTCAGGAATCGTATACTTATCTTGGTCTCACGCTGGATTCCACTCTGCGGTGGAATCGGCTGGCTGGAAAATCTTGGGGCTGTAAGCCTCATTTTGTAAACTAGTGGCATTTGACATTCTCCTACATAACTATTTTCCTTATTATCCAAAGCTCATTCAATTCATTTTCTCCCTCATTTACATCGGATATTTCATTAATCATTTGTATCGTTAACAGCCGGAAGCAGGTCTCCATGTGGTGGTATGGTCTTTAGAAGAAAGTAATTAATTATGAATACTCAATACAAAAATACTAGATAACCATTCCGCATACGAACCATCATAAGAATCGTTTATGGTCACGTCAAAATGTGCGCCAATCCCTGCCAGTTGATATGTGAAACTAAAGCGAGTGCAATTTCAAATGTTTAAGTAGCGCATACAAACCCAAACAATCCAAACCACACCATGGTCTTATTACCTCTTGTGTGTACTCCGTTTGTTGTCGTGTATTGTTACTATATAAAAAATTATAAACTATTTGTATTTTTTATACTTTTATTATTATTGTAATATTCTGTGATTTCACGATTTATTATTATTTATATATATAACTAACAATTATAATATTATATTAATAAATATCGGACTTCCTTGTTGCTAAATTATGAAAGTATATTGTCACTTTCTGTAACAGGTACAGATCTCCACATTCCCTCCTTTTTCTCCAGACGTAGTTTGAGGTTCTCGCTTAGCTTCTGCTGATCCTCAGATGTTGAAGTAGTTCGGGAAGACTCAGCGTCGAGGAAAACTGGCGCTACAGGACTCAATGGGTTTGCGGTTACAATCTTTTTCAAATGACCAACATTCCTGGTGTATGTTTTACCACCAGCGGAAATCTGCGCAACATTTCCTTCTCGCTTTACTACTTTATACGTGGTAGTATCAAATGTGGGTGTCAACTTATGCAGAAATATTACATTCTTTAAGACTACTGTATCTCCAACTTGGATGTCAACATATCCCGCACTCCTGACCTTGTCAGTCAACTGTTTCCCTTTATCTTTCTCTTCTGAGTCTGCCATTTCCCCCACAAGGTCCTGAATGCAGGGAATTTTGTCTCGTATTACTCTGTTAAACATCAGTTCTGTCGGTGGAGCGCCCGTGGTACCATGCGGAGTAACATTTTACATCAAAACGAATTTCTGAATTTCTTTCTTGTAGTTGTTGTTTGGATGAGCTATCTTTAAACGTTTCACTAAGGACCTGTTCATATTTTCTACTTCGCCGTTAGCCTGAGGCCAGTATGGGCTCGTAGTCATTAGCCGAATGCCGTTGGTACTGCAAAAACTTTTAAACTCAACGTTTACGAATTGCCTTACATTGTCAGACGTTAGTGTCTCTGGAAATCCCAATCTTGAAAATATCTCTTCCATTTCATCAATAATGGTTTTAGATGTTATCGACTTAATCACTTTGAACTCCGTATATCTGGAGTAGTAATCAATTAGTACCAATATATTATTCCCATTAGGTAAAGGACCCAGAATATCGGTTGCTAAGCATTTCCAGGATCCATTCGGGAAAGGGTGCCGGTCCTTCAGAGCTGGTTTTGGTGGCATTGACAGTATAAGGCAATCTTGACAAGTCTGACGTATTTTTCAGCATCTTTGTCCACACAAGGCCACCAAACTTTGGAGCGTAACTTCCGTTTCATTGCACTTATTCTTGGATGTCCCTCATAATTTAGTTCCCCGCAATAGGATATCACCAACTATAGATAGCTCCAAACGAAATAGATAATATGGGCTGAACATATTTGCTCTCCACGAGTTCTGACTTAGAAACGTTATTACATCTTGTATCTCTTCGTCTAATATAGACGTCTCGGTAATCTGTGATATGGAGAGCGACTTCGGTATCAAAGTGGACACTACATGAAATATATGCTGCTCTCCGGCCCAATCATATGGATCAGCGTTGTTTTCTTGGGAAAGCCTCGATAGCGAATCCGCAATATTTTCTTTCCCTTGTTTTTTATATCGCTCGGAAACGATATGACAGTAACCTTAGCAACCATCTTTCTATCCTCGCTGGAGGTCGTGAGGTTGGCTTAAATATAGTTTCTAGAGGCTTATGATCGGTTATTAGATCAAAGTGTAACCCTGCCAAATAATAAGAAAGTTTTTCCACAGCCCACACCAAGGCCAAACTTTCTTTTTCGGTTTGTGAATATCTCCTTTCCACCGGTGAGAAACTCTTACTGGCAAATGAAATGATCCGCGAAATATTTGCCTTATTAAATTGCACTAATACGGCACCCAGGGCCACCGTACTAGCATCTGCAATTAAACATGTTTTGTCCTGTGGGTTAAAGTATGAGAGTTTCGATACCGCGGCAATTTTCGTCTTTATTCCTTGAAATGCGTCGCCCTGCTCTTTGCTCCAAACAAATTTGTCCTTACTCCTCATTAGTTTCCTTAGAGGCTCGGTGCCTCTGCCAAGTCAATTACAAACTTACCCACATATGTAGCTAAACCAAGAAAACTACGTACTTCTTTATTTTTCGGCGCTCTGAATGCTGTGATCACTTTTACTTTTTCGGGATCAACTTCAATCCCCTCATCCGACAGGATGTGTCCCAAAAATTTCAGCCTTTGAGCTCTTATTATGCACTTCTTTTCATTCAGCAAGACATTATTTGTTTTAAAAATTGTCTTAACCATTTCCAGCGCCTTATGATGTTCTTCAAGGTTGCTTCCAAAAATGATTACGTCATCAATATAATTCAATGCATTTTGACAAGGAGATATGAATTAATCCATTAGTCTCTGAAATATCTCTGGAGCCGAATTCACTCCAAACATTAAACGTTTATAACGAAACAAACCCCGGTGCGTAAAAATGTAGTAATTTCTCTGCTGGACTCAGCCAACTCCAACTGATGGTAGGCATTTCTTAAATCAAGTCAAGAGAAATACTTGGCTCCCCTTAGTTTAGTCATAAAGTTGTCGAAAATCGGTAAAGGGTAATTATCTCTCTGTATTGCTTTATTTGCCCACCGCATATTTATGCATACCCGAATATAGCCATCATCTTTAAAGGCAATCACCACCGGCGATATCCAGGCACTTGGACCAGTTACTGGTTCGATAATGTCCAATTTTAAAGCATCTTCCAGTTTCTCAGTTATTTTGCCCTCCAACGCTGTCGGCACACGTCTCATGGGTTGTTGCACGGGAACCACTGATTCGTAAATGGACAGCTTGACAGAAACATCCCGCCATTTGGCAAGCGGTTCCGCTTCCTCAACTGTACGCACGTCCAAACCTACTCTTAAAACGCTGAGTTCGATAGCTGTGTCCCGTCCTAATAGAGATTTTTTACCATTTTCGATTACATAAAATGTTGTAATCAGTTCCGGATCGTTTTGTTTCGAAATTGGAGCCTCAAAAATTTGTAATACCTTGAGTAGACGATCTGAAGCATATGCCCGAAAATGATTCGCTGATTCAGCACGTGAGTTAAAAATAACAGCCTTTTCCTCGAATAATCGTGGCCAATCTGAATGGCTGATCAGGTTCAATTTAGAGCCCGAATCGATGATCATAGTAATTATGTAACTTCCTATTTTACACGGGATCTCCCCCTCTTGTGACGACTCATTTTCCACTCTGAATAACCCAGTTCCCTTCGAACCGTCGAGTACATTTCCACTTTCGCTACTTATGGACTGTACCACCGTATCTCTTCGTCTCCAGCGTTTCCTATCCGGGTCATCTACTTTAAAGTTGGGCTTCCGTAACCTTGTGCGTCATTTCCGATAAAAATGTCCAATTCTATCGCATTTCCTGTATTTAATTTTTCTGGCAGGGCACTCCTTACTATTTTCGCGATGTCCCCTTTTACCACATCTTCCACACTCGCTTTCTATACTTTGCTGTACGATTTTGTTGATGCCGCTTGGATTACCCTGGGGTGTCATAGACTGTGTTTGTTTGTTGACTTGTTCATCAATACTACATATTTTGATGACCTCATCTAAAGTTAGTTCGTTTTCAAGTAACCTTTTTTTAAACCTAGCGGTGCCCAGACATCGATGATTTTATCTTTTAAACATATTTCTTCAACCTGTTCTTTGGTCTCCCCAAATGAACATTTTGCTATCTGGCGGCGTAATCTCATCAAAAACTCCGTAAAACATTCTCCTACCAGTGGTGTGATAGAACGAAACAAGTGCCTCTCAAAAGCAGAATTCCGTTGTGGCGAAAAATACTCATTGAGTTTTGTTATCAAAGGTGTAAACACATCGTTTTCCGCTTGCTCGTCATATGGTACTAAAGCACCAGGAATGCTATATACCACTGCCTGAAGCTGGGATCCTCCCAAATGTAGGAGTTTATTTCTTTTCTTATATATAGAAGTTATCTTCTCTGCGTCAATATATATATGTATATATAAAACCCCCACTCCGTACGCCATAACGCCTTGTCCATTCCCTGACATAGAAATGGTTTCAGTTCCGTCATGTTTATTTTTCACTGAAACGAT